ACTATTACTACAACTACTACTACTACTTGTGTGTTTTTGAGAGTTTGAGTTTGTGTGACGTTGTTGAAGTTCTGGGCTTTGGGTCTTGAGTCTCTGGGGGACGTCAGAGTTCAGGCATAAAGAGTCCGACACCTGCGGCCAAGAAGCATCGCCCGGGCGCTGGCGGGGCATCTGACGCAAACCTGTCTCCCACCCGTGTCTGTGTCTCTGACCCGTGTCTGTGTCTCTGACCGGTGTCTGTGTCTGTGTCTGTGTCTGTGTCTGTGTCTGTGTGTGTTGCTCGGTTCTTCAGGTTTTCACTCAGAACTTCTGGACCTAAAGCTTCATTTCAGATTCATGTTCGTGGACCTTTGTTTGGAGCAGATCTTCAGAAGCTCCTCGTGTTTTGGTGTCAACAGTTTTGGGGGAAATTTGTGATTGTCGTGTGATTTTCTGACATTGTGATTGTCGTTTTTATTTGTGATTTCTCTTTTAATCACAGGATTCTGCTCAAATTTTACTTTTTAAACCAGAAAAATCGACACAAAAACTGAAATCTGAACTGACAAACACATTTTAGAACATTTGTGAAGCTCCAAACTCCAGGGTGAACAGCTTTTATGGAGAATAAGAAGAGATTTTGATGTAATGTTGTAGTCAAGACCACAACTAATCGAGACCAAGACTAGTCCAAGACCACAGGGACCAAGACCGAGACCAAACTGAGACTAAATCAAGACCAAATCGAGACCATCTTTGTCATTTTCAACTTTTATTTGTATTTTTTTTGTTATTTTAGCACAAATATGTCAATGTTTTTATAAATCTGTTTCTGTTTTTTCACTTGTCGAGTGTGAGACCTCGAGTCCGAGACGAGACCAAGACCTCAAAAAAACTGGTCTAGAGGCCGGACCCGAGTTTTACGACACTGTTTTGATGTTGGTGGAGGAAACGTGACCTGCTGTTGTGTCCAGAAAAGATTTAAAGCAGAAAAGATTCAAACTGAGACGTGTGTGAAACGGTTTTAAATCTCAAACTGAACTTGATTTTGTGTTTTTTTACGTCTTTTCAAAGCTTCTCTACCTGATTTTTCCTGCGTTTAAAAGGTGAAAAACAGAACTAGTTTGCAGTGGTTAAAGTTCTTGTGGATTGAGTTTGTAGATTTATTCTGTTTCTACTTCAGATCTGTGCTGAGGAGGGACTCGTTTTACTCAGATCCACGAGGAACATCACGAGGAACATCATGAGGAACATCAGGAACAGCGTCTTAAATGTCACGCTTTGAACATTTTAGAAACATAACGGAAACTGTTCTGCTCAAAACTTCTTCTTTTGAATCCTGGATTTGTTTATAAGATCTTTGAAATCGCTCTGTTCCTCTGCTCCTCTCACCCTCTCCACTCCTCTGACCTTCTGACCTTTTTCTCTGCTCTTCTCCTCCTCTGCTCCTCTAAACCCTGATCTTGATTCTTCTCTGCTCCTCTCACCGTCTTCTCTGCTCTTCTGCTCCTCTAAACCTTTTTTTGATTCTCTTCAGCTACTCTGATCCTCTCCTCTGCTCCCCTCTTCTGCTCCTCTCACCTTCTTCTCCGCTCCTCTAACCCTCTCCACTCCTCTGACCTTCTTACCTTCTTCTCTGCTCTGCTCTTCTCCTCTAAACCCTCCTCTTGATTCTTCTCTGTTCCTCTCTTCTGCTCCTCTCACCTTCTCCTCTGCTCCTCTGGCCTTCACCTCCGTTCCTCTGACCTTCTTCTCTGCTCCTCTCACCTTCCTCTCCGTTCCTCAGTTCTTCTTCTCTTCTGAACGTGAACAGTGCCATGACTTAATCGTTTTATTAATTGTAAAATCATCCCGATCTGAGCGTCTCACCTGATCGTTCCAGAGTTAGAAGGTTCTTCTGGGTGGATGGGGTTTGGGCGTCTGGTTTAATCTTCTCGGGTGGATGAGCGTGAGGAGGAGGATGGGGAACTCCAGCGCGGTGACTCACTTCACGCTGGGGGCCTTCACCGACCCGGGGCCTTTCCGCTGGCTCTACTTCCTGCTCCTGTTGTCCATGTACCTTCTCGTCATCGTGTCCAACCTCCTCCTCGTCGCCGTGATCTGCCTGAACCGAAGCCTCCACGAGCCCATGTACCTTCTGCTCTGTGGGCTCTTCGTGAACGAGCTGTGGGGCAGCGCCGCCGTGTTCCCCATGCTCCTGGTGCAGATCCTGCGCGAGGTCCACACCGTCACGCTCGCCTTCTGCTTCCTCCAGATCTTCTTCGGCCACTCGTACGGTTCCATCGAGTTCGTGACCCTCGCCGTCATCACGTACGACCGATACGTGGCGGTGAGCTTCCCGCTGCAGTACCGAGCGCGCATGACCTTCTCCAAAGTCCTGTTCCTCGTCGTGTTCCCGTGGTTTTACTCGCTCGTCTTGATTCTGACTTTAGTTCTTTTGACTCGTTCCTTAAACCTGTGCGGCTCGTTCATCCCCGCGATCTTCTGTAGTAACTTCTCCGTGGTGAAGCTGGCGTGTTCAGATATTTCCCTCCACAACATCTACGGGCTCCTCATCACCGTGCTCACCGTCTTCGGGCCCATGCTCTTCATGTTCGGGACGTACGTGTGGATCCTGACCGTGTGCTTCCGTTCTTCCGCTCGGACGCGTCAGAAGGCGCTCAGCACCTGCGCGCCGCACCTGGCCTCCATCCTCAACTTCTCGTTCGGCGTGTTCTTCGAGGTTCTGCAGAGTCGCTTCGACCTGAGGAGCGTCCCGGCCGTGGTCCGTCTGCTCCTCTCCGTCTACTTCCCCGTGGTCCAGCCGCTCTTCAACCCGTTAATCTACGGCCTGAAGCTGTCCAAAGTCCGAGCTCAGTGTGTGCGGCTGCTGCGCCTGATGCCCTCCCACGACAACAACAAGGACAACAACAATAACAATAAGAACAACAACAACAACCACGACAACAATAAGAACAAGAACAACAACCACGACAACAACAAGGACAACAACAATAACCACAACAATAAGAACAACAACAATAAGAACAACAACAACAACCACGACAACAACAAGGACAACAACAATAACAACAACAACAACAATAAGAACAACAACAATAAGAACAACAACAACAATAAGAACAACAACAACAACAACAACGACAACAACAACAACAACAAGGACAACAACAATAAGAACAACAACAACAACAACAATAAGAACAACAACAACAACACGACAACAACAAGACAACAACAATCAACACGACAACAACAACACAACAAGACAACAACAAAAGACAACAACACAACAACAACAACAAAAGACAACAACAACAACAACAACACAACAACAACAACAACAACAACAACAACACAACAACAACAACAACAACCACAACAACAACACGACAACCAATAAACATCTGAGAAAATCGATTTGTGTTTTTATTCCAGTTTTGGGTTTGGCTTGGGTCACATTCTTAGATTTAAACAAACTTTATTGATCCACAAGGAAAATGATTTAAACACACGAGTCACAATAAAATATAACAAAAAGTAAAAATATAAATGACAATAATAAATTCTAAATAAGAAGCAAAAAAACAACAACAACAGACACGTGACATAAAGAAATAATTATATAAATGTAAATGTACAAGTCAAAATAAAATAGAAAGATACAAAATAAAATATAAAATCACAGATTTATTCGATAGGTCCAACGCAACAATAAGATGATTGACAGGACGGTGTAAACCAGGGGGTCCAAACGTTTTCATCAAGGGCCACATATGTAAACACAGACGAAGCAGAGGCCGATCGAGGCCGTGGACTTTTACTACAGACTCAAACACTAAATATTTAAATCTTCACTTTATCAAGGTAGATTTTCAAAAAACTTGCAGTAAAAAGTGAATTTTTAATTGATGCAGGTCATTTGGGCCAATTCACCTGGAAGCCTGAGGGCCAAGAAAAGTTTGTCTGAGGGCCGCATTTGGCCCACGGGCCATAGTTTGGACACACCTGGTGTAGGGAGTATTATCTGTCCCTCACTGTGACAAAAGCTCACAGTCGATCACATGACCAACTTTAGTTTGTCAATCGTTTTATTCAGTCCTTCAGTCGACTCTGATCGACTCGTTTCAACTCAAACTGATTTGATCGTTTTCCCTGGTCCATGTCTGGACTAAAACTGCTCGGATTTGATTTTAAAGATGTTTTTTAAATGATGTTTTTTGTTTGGCAGCTTCACGTTTTCATGAGTCAAACATAAACTCTTCTTGAGTCTGAGCAGCGACACAACAAACACATTCACTGATTTTTATAAAGAAATACAATCAATATTCTGCAGAATTGAGTTCAACCTTTTGGCTCCACAATATTTTCTGTTTTTTATGTGGCTCCATAAAAAAAACAACTGCCCAAACCTGATGGAAATCCTGAAACACCAAAGGTCGTCTGAGCAGCTGGAGGTCGTTTGACTGAAACACTTCAAATCATTTTATTTAGGATTTAGGGAAAAAAAAAAAAAAAAAAGTGAGGATTTTTTCCAAGTTTGGCCATTTTTTTAGATTTCAGATTTGTCTTCCTGGTTGTAAATCATGACATCACACTGAGAAATTCCATAACTGTTACCATAGAAACCAGACGAAGCTCTGAGGCCAAACTCGTCCAACGTCCCAGAGACGAAGAGACAAAAACAAACACAACAAAACTCTTTATTTAAACGAAATCCTCCAAACACTGACGTCAGACGATTGTGTCGATCCAAACAACAGAGACTTTTACCTGTGGTCAGCTCTGTGCAGAGGCGAGCCACGAGCCACGAGCCACGAGCCACGAGCCACGAGCCACGAGCCACGAGCCACATCACTGTCAGTCTAACAGAAGATACATGAGTTTAAAGTCACAGAACATCCTGACACTGAGAACAAACGAGGCCTCAGACCAACGATCCTGAGACGAGTTTTTACTGCAGGAGTTAAAAAAAGAAGAAAGAAGAAAGATTAATTATTTAAATATTTGAGAAGTGACACAGAATAAACCATAAAATTGTTGTTTAAAAGTTTAAAGTTTGAAGAATAAACAGGAGTTAAAAACTGAATTCAAAGTTCAGGTCAGAGGAACTTTGTCTCCACCTGCTGGTTGTTTGTGTGAACTGCAGAATAAAGTACATTTCCCTGAAGTCTTATTTAGAATTTATTATTATAGTTTATATTTTCCTCTTATTTTAATAAACTGTTTGTTGAAGTGTCCTGCTGCCTTCACGGGCCGTGGGAAAAATGAAACTTTCAACTTATGAAATTGAAATTACAAGAGTGTTTTGTGTTTTTGTTCTAGTGAAACTTGGACTCAGAGTTTATCCAGATCTGTTATTTGGGTAAAACAGTTTTAATATTTCATTTAATTTTATTTATATTTTATTATTTATTGTATTTATTTCAATAATAAGTGTAAATGGTGACAAACTAAACAACTAACGACGACAGAGAAAATGTAACAGAAACACATTTAGTGTTTAGGGTTTAGTTCTTCCCCGTCACGTTCACATTTTCACTTTTCTCCGTCGTGTTGAAAGGTCAAAATTTATCTCATTTTGATCATAAAAATCTTCCAGTTTTCCAGTGAAAATGGCGACGTGAGTGAGTCGTGTTCATGTTCTGATTCATTCTGATGTTGGTTTTTGGTATTTCCCATCGTGACCACAGGACGTGAAGGAGTCGCAGATGAACTGTTGGGTTTTTTCTTGGTCTGGATCTTTGAGCTGCTGAGAACTTCTACACCAAATGTGAGAGAAAACCTTCCAGAAGAAACACTCTGAGTCTCATCAGCGACCAAACAGCAGCTGTGGCCCTCAGGAGACCTTCCAGAAGAAACACCAGAAGAAACACCAGAAGAAACACCAGAAGAAACACCAGCCCAACAGAGTCAACCAAGACGACAACATGACCGACGTTTGTGGTTTGATTCTCTGGAGTTTCTCGAGCCTCCTGCAGGTCGACAAATCAAAGACTCTGAGGGACGTTTAACATCTACACTGAACATTTCTCTGGTCTGGTCAAGATTTTAAACCTTCGATCAGGTTCTTCGTCGTGTTTTCAGATTTATGGTCGACTCACTCGTTCTGAGACGCTTCACTCTCGTCTGGAGGTCGAGTATCTGAAGAACTTGTCCAGTAAATTCATCTTCTGCCTGGACACGACATTTTACGACTTTTACTCATTTTCTGATAAATTTAAGCAAGTCGTCGTTTTGCGAGTCTCAAGTCTTTGACCTCAAGTCCAAGTCAAGTGTCGAGTCACTGGCCCATAAGTCCAAGTCAAGTCCAAGTCGTCTGCGTTGAGCTTCAAGTCATTTCAAATCTTTAAACCAAACAGAGCTTCGATTTTTGCAGTTTAAATGAATTTGAATCTAAATTGTTCTTAAAAAGTCACGGTGTGTATATATTTATATTTATATATGAGTGTTTATATAAAAGTTGTAGAAACGTTATTTTTCCGTTTTAAAAGTCGTTCATCCATCGAGTCGTGGAGGCATCAGAGTCATGAAACTTTTAAATGTTTTAACAAAATGTGAGTGAATCACGACGTCAGAACAGAAAGAAGAAAGATTTAAAATGTTTCATAACAGTTTTTTTGTCGTTTTTGAACTGAAAGGGAAGAATCAGGTTCTGTGTAGTTCCCTGTTTTACTCTGTTGTACTTTATATTACTGTGTATTACTGTAGTACTTTTGAGTATCGCAGTACTTCAGGTCCGTCCAAAGTACAAACCAAAGTGTGGGGAAATGTTCCAGTTTGTTTCTGTAAAATTCAGCGTCGCATTTATCAACTGAAGAGAAAAGTATTTTATAAAAACATAACTTTTTTAGAAGCATCAAGTCACCTCAAGTCGCAGGCCTCAAGTCCGAGTCGAGTCCCGAGTCACAGGCCTCAAGTCCGAGTCGAGTCCCCAGTCGCAGGCCTCAAGTCCAAGTCGAGTCCCAAGTCGCAGGCCTCAAGTCCAAGTCGAGTCCCGAGTCACAGGCCTCAAGTCCGAGTCGAGTCCCAAGTCGCAGGTCTCAAGTCTGAGTCGAGTCCCAAGGCGCAGGCCTCAAGTCCGAGTCGAGTCCCAAGTCGCAGGCCTCAAGTCCGAGTCGAGTCCCAAGTCGCAGGCCTCAAGTCCGAGTCAAGTCCCAAGTCGCAGGCCTCAAGTCCGAGTCGAGTCCCAAATCTTTGTCCATTTTATCAAGTCAAGTCTCAAAAAATAGTGACTCAAGTCTCTGAACCCGTGACCAGAGGCTCAGGGTTCAACTTCAGGTCACTTCTTGTCCTAAACCTGAACTTCATCAGAAACAGATCACATTTTGGGTTAAAGTCTGTGGTCCAGCAGGTCTCACTCGTCCTCCAGGAGTTTCATCATTGTTTATCTCATCACACTCAGACCTCAGGGACCAATCAGACGCAGCCGTCCGGTCACATGTCCACAGAGAGACGAGGTAATGACGTCCCTGTGGACCAATCAGGACGCAAACAAGGTCATTAACCCCAACGCAACACAAGAACACAAAAAAACAACGCAACACAACAACGCAACACTACACAACGACACAACATAACGACGCACAACACAACAGAAAAACAACTGAGCTCAGAGTTAATGAGGCTGAATTAACTTTGTCCTGAGTTTGTGAAGACGAACTGAAAGTCTGGAGTCTGCAGTGACTCACACTGGGGGAGCTCTACATCTACATCTACACCTACATCTACACCTACATCTACATCTACACCTACATCTACATCTACACCTACTACATCTACATCTACATCTACACCTACATCTACATCTACACCTACATCTACACCTACATCTACATCTACATCTACACCTACATCTACATCTACATCTACATCTACACACTACATCTACACCTACACCTACATCTACACTACATACACTACATACATCTACATCTACATCTACACCTACATCTACATCTACACCTACATCTACATCTACATACATCTACACCTACATCTACATCTACATCTACATCTACACTACATACATCTACACCTACATCCTACATCTACATCTACATACATCTACACCTACACCTACATCTACACATCTACACTCTACATCTACATCTACATCTACATCTACACCTACATCTACACCTACATCTACATCTACACTCTACATCTACATCTACACCTACATCTACATCTACACCTACATCTACACCTACATCTACATCTACATCCTACATCTACACTACATCTACTACATCTACATCTACACCTACTACATCTACATCTTACATCTACATCTACATCTACATCTACATCTACATCTACATCTACATCTACATCTACACCTACATCTACATCTACACTACATCTACATCTACACCTACATACATCTACACCTACATCTACATCTACACCTACACCTACATCTACATCCTACATCTACACCTACATCTACACTCTACATCTACATCTACATCTACACCTACATCTACACCTACATCTACACCTCACTACATCTTACACTACTACATCTACACTACACTACTACATCTACATCTACTTACATCTACATACATCTACACTACATACATCTACATCTACACTACATACACCTCTACACTACATCTACATCTACATCTACATCTACACCTACATCTACATACCTACATCTACATCTACACTCTACATCTACACCTACATACATCTACACCTACATCTACACCTACATCTACACTTACATCTACACCTACATCTACATCTACACTACATACATCTACACTTACATCTACACCTACACCTACATCTACATCTACACCTACATCTACATCTACACCTACATCTACACTACATCTACATCTACATCTACATCTACATCTACACTTACATCTACACTACACTACATCTACACCTACATCTACACCTACATCTACACTACACTCTACACTTACATCTACACTCATACATCTACATACATCTACATCACTACATCTACACCACTACATCTACACTCTACATCTACATCTACACTACACTACATCTACACTTACACCTACACTCTACATCTACATCTACATCTACATCTACACCTACACTACACCTACTACATCCTACATCTACATCTACATACATCTACACTTACATCTACACTTACTACATCTACACACTACATCTACACTACATCTACATACATACACATCTACACTACATCTACATCTACACCTACACTTACATCTACATCTACACTCACATCTACACCTACACCTACACCTACATCTACACTACTCTACTACATCTACATCTACACTACATCTACACCTACATCTACATCTACACTTACATCTACATCTACATCTACACCTACATCTACACTACATCTACATCTACTACATCTACACCCTACACTACATCTACATCTCTACATCTACACTACTTACATCTACACCTACACCTACATCTACATCTACACTTACATCTACACTTACATCTACATCCTACATCTACATCTACATCTACATCTACATCTACATCTACACCTACATCTACACTACACTACATACATCTACACCTACATCTACATCTACATCTACATCTACATCTACACTCTACATCTACATCTACATCTACATCTACATCTACATCTACACCTACATCTACATCTACACTTACATCTACACTTACATCTACACCTACATCTACATCTACATCTACACCTCTACATCTACACTTACACCTACATCTACACTCCTACATCTACATCTACACTACATCTACACCTACATCTACATCTACACTTACATCTACATCTACATCTACTACACCTACATCCTACATCTACACTACATACATCTACATCTACACCTACATCTACATCTACACTACATCTACACCTACATCTACACCTACATCTACATCTACACTTACATCTACACCTACATCTACACCTACATCTACATACATACACCTACTACATCTCTACACTACTACACCTACATCTACACTACATCTACACCTACACCTACATCTACACCTACATCTACACCTACATCTACACCTACATCTACACTACACCTACAACCTACATCCTACATCCTACATCTACACTACATCTACATACACCTACATCTACATCTACACATCTACATCTACATCTACACTACAACATCTACACCTACATCTACTACACATCTACATCTACACTTACATCTACACCTAACATCTACATCTACACACCTTACATCTACACTACATACTCTACATCTACACCTACATCTACATCTACACTTACATCTACACCTACACCTACATCTACATCTACATCTACACCTACATCTACATCTACATCTACACCTACATCTACACCTACATCTACACCTACATCTACATACATCTACACCTACATCTACACTACCTACACCTACATCTACATCTACACCTACATCTACACCTACATCTACACCTACATCTACATCTACACCTACATCTACACCTACATCTACATCTACACTACATCTACACTACATCTACATCTACACCTACATCTACACCTACATCTACACCTACATCTACATCTACACCTACATCTACATCTACTACATCTACATCTACACCTACATACACTACATCTACACTTACATCTACATCTACACCTACACCTACATCTACATCTACATACTACATCTACATCTACATTCTACATCTACACTACATACATCTACATCTACACACTACACCTACATCTACATCTACACTACTACACATACACTACACTACATCTACATACACCTACATCTACACTACACTACATCTACATCTACTCTACACCTACTACACTACATACATCTACACTCTACATCTACACTACATCTACATCTACACTCTACACTTACATCTACACCTACATCTACATCTACACCTACACCTACATCTACACCTACACCTTACACTTACATCTACATACACCTACATCTACACCTACATCTACACTACACTACATCTACATCTACACCTACATCTACATCTACACCTACATCTACACCTACACCTACACCTACATCTACACCTACATCTACACCTACATCTACACCTACACTACTACATCTACATCTACATCTACACCTACACCTACACTACATCTACATACATACACTACACTACATCTACATTACACTCTACACCTCACCTACATCCTACATCTACACTTACACTCTACACCTACTACATCTACATCTACATTACATACACTACTACACCCTACCTCTACACCTACATCTACACTTACATCACACACCTACATACATTACATTACACTACATACATTACACTACATCTACATCTACACTACACTACATCCTACATCTACATCTACATCTACATCTTGACACTTACACACCTGACTTCAATTAATTCATTACAGTTTAACACTAATAGTAGTATTAAATTAGTAGTAAGTAGTATTAATAGTATAATTAATAATAAGTGTAATGTAATAGTAGTAGTAGTAGTAAAGTAGTATAGTATAGTAGGGTAATAGTAACAGTTGTTGTACAGTAGAAAGTAGTATAGTAGACATTAGAATGTTTGAACAGTTAAGTAACAGGAGTTTGAACAGACTAGAACAAAGAAACAAAACATAGAAAACAGTAGAACAGTAGAACAGTAGAACATTAGAACAGTAGAACATTAGAACAGTAGAACAGAAGAACATTAGGACAGTAGAACATTAGGACAGTAGAACATTAGAACAGTAGAACATTAGAACAGTAAAACATTAGGACAGTAGAACAGTAGAACAGTAGAACAGTAGAACATTAGAACAGTAGAACATTAGAACAGTAGAACAGTAGGACAGTAGAACATTAGAACAGTAGAACGGTAGAACAGTAGAACATTAGAACATTAGCACAGTAGAACATTAGAACAGTAGAACATTAGAACAGTAGAACATTAGGACAGTTAGAACATTAGAACAGTAGAACAGAACAGTAGAACATTAGGACAGTAGAACAGTAGAACAGTAGAACATTAGGACAGTAGAACATTAGGACAGTAGAACATTAGAACATTAGAACATTAGAACAGTAAAACATAGGACAGTAGAACATAGAAACAGTAGAACATTAGAAACAGTAGAACATTAGAACAGAACATTAGAACAGTAGAACATTAGAACATTAGAACATTAGAACAAGAACAGTAGAACAGTAGAACATTAGAACAGTAGAACATAGAACAGTAGAAACAGTAGAACAGTAGAACATTAGGACAGTAGAACAGTAGACAGTAGAACAGTAGAACATTAGAACAGTAGAACAGTTAGAACATTTAGAACAGTAGACAGTAGAACAGTAGAACATTAGAACAGTAGAACAGTAGAACAGTTAGAACCAGTAGAACATTTAGAACAGTAGAACATTAGAACAGTAGAACATTAGAACATTAGAACAGTAGACATAGAACAGTAGAAGTAGAACAGTAGAACAGTAGAAACAGTAGAACATTAGAACATTACAGTAGAAAATTAGATAGAACATAGAACAGTAGAACAGTAGACAGTAGAACATTAGACATGGGTTAAAGTTCACATGAGTTCGTCCCTGTGGTTCCTCCACCAGAAAAGTTCCACAGTACATCTTTAAATCATCTAATGAAACCAGACCAAGCTCGTGCTGCCCCCTGGTGGCCCACAGTGGAACTGCACCAACAGACTCTTGATTGAGATTATTGTAATATTATTATTTTATATTTATATTTATATTTATATTTATATTATGTGTGAATCTGCATCTGAATTTAACACTGTTTTCTGTTCAAAGAAGTTTGGTGAGTTTGACCAGTGTGAATGTGAGAACTAAACCAGAACTAAACCAGAACTAAACCAGACTAAACCAGAACTAAACCAGGACTAAACCAGAACTAAACCAGGACTAAACCAGGACTAAACCAGGACTAAACCACGACTGAACTAAACCAGGACTAACCAGAACTAAACCAGAACTAAACCAGGACTGAACCAGAACTAAACCAGGACTGAACCAGGACTAAACCAGGACTGAACCAGGACCATGCAGGACTGAACCCCAGAGTATAAACCGGTTCTAATCTCACAGAACAAGAACAAACACCGAGTCTGAGTCTGACTCGGAGTCCGCTCGTGTCCGTCCGCACGTGCGCGCGCATGTACAAGTATAAAAACAGCGTGTACATATATACATATATATACATATATATATATATAATATATATATGTGTGTGTGTGTGTGTGTGTGTGTGTACATATGTGTGTGTATATGTGTATATATTTGTGTGTATATATCGGTGCGGGGCTCGTGCGGGGCTCGTGCGGGGCTCGCGGTCTTTGGGGGCGTTTCTTCTTCTTCTGGATTTGTTCCTTTGCAGCATCAGTAGCGCCGCTGTCGCTTCTGTGCCGCGCGTGAGCCTGACCTCACATCCGCGTTTCCCGCGCGATCACCGCAAAAACACCGCAAACAAACACGCACAGCCCGCAGGAGCCACGCGCACGAGGCCCGCAGGTAAGTCTCCGCGGCCGGGGTCGCGTCCCCGCGGGCGGAGCGCGCTCACGGCCGCGGCGGAGGCTCCGGGGAGCGGCGCGCGGACACGGGCCGCGCGGGGCTCGGCTCGGACCGAACTGGACCGGATTTAGTTTGTGCACGTAACGTGCACGTAACGCGGATACGCGAGCGCGGTGTGCGCGTGCACAGCGCACGCGGCTTTGGAAACGCGTCGATTGGAGGCGAGAATCAGAAGCACGTCACGTTTTCAACGAGTTTACACTGCGCATGCGCACACAGCTTTCTCCAGCGGAGCTGAAAAAACAAGAACTAAACCAGGACTAAAACTGGACTAAACCAGGACTAAAACTGGACTACACCAGGACTACACCAGGACTAAACCAGGACTAAAACTGGACTAAACCTGGACTACACAAGGACTAGACCAGGACTAAAACTGGACTAAACCAGGACTAAAACTGGACTACACCAGGACTACACCAGGACTAAACCAGGACTAAAACTGGACTAAACCTGGACTACACCAGGACTAAAACTGGACTAAACCAGGACTACACCAGGACTAGACCAGGACTAAAATGGACTAAACCTGGACTACACCAGGACTGGACTAAACGGGACTAAACCTGGACTACACCAGGACTAAACCAGGACTAAACCAGGACTAACCAGGACTAAACCTGGACTAAACCAGGACTAAAACTGGACTAAACCTGGACTACACCAAGACTATACCAGGTCTAAACCAGGTCTAAACCAGGTCTGGACTCTGGACAGACTGGTCCTGGTTTAGAAGCAGACACACAGACAGGTCGGTCATGTTATTAAAAGCTCAATAAATCGCGTCAGAAAAAAACCCCCAAAAAAACAGAATATCGACACTATTTTATGGCACCGAACCTTGACTGGACCCATAGAACTATAATAGAACCTTGACTGGACCCGTAGAACTATAATAGAACCCTGACTGGACCCAACTAGAACTTGACTGACCCATAGAACTATAATAGAACTGAACTGGAATAACTATAATAGAACCCTGACTGGACCCATAGAACTATAATAGAACCCTGACTGGACCCATAGAACTATAATAGAACCCTGACTGGAACCGTAGACTATAATAGAACCTTGACTGGACCCGTAGAACTATAATAGAACCTTGACTGGACCCGTAGAACTATAATAGAACCTTGACTGGACCCGTAGAACTATAATAGAACCTTGACTGGACCCATAGAACTATAATAGAACCTTGACTGGACCCATAGAACTATAATAGAACCTTGACTGGACCCGTAGGACTATAATAGAACCTTGACTGGACCCATAGAACTATAATAGAACCTTGACTGGACCCGTAGAACTATAATAGAACCCTGACTGGACCCGTAGAACTATAATAGAACCTTGACTGGACCCGTAGAACTATAATAGAACCTTGACTGGACCCATAGAACTATAATAGAACCCTGACTGGACCCGTAGAACTATAACAGAACCCTGAGGGGGCTCACCGTTCTGCTGCTGCAGGATGTCGGCTCGTGGGAAGAAGAAGTTGACGAAGACGTCTCGGTCGGCGCGGGCCGGGGTTCTGTTCCCCGTGGGCCGGATGATGCGGTACCTCCGGAACTCCACCCACAAATATCGGATCGGGATCGGCGCTCCGGTTTACATGGCCGCCGTCATCGAGTACCTGGCAGGTGAGAGACCCGGACTGAACCAGGACTAAACCAGGACTAAACCAGGACTAAACTAGGACTAAACCAGGACTAAACCAGGAAACCAGGTCTAAACCAGGTCTAAACGTGTTCTTGTTTGTGGTGTTTAGCGGAGATCCTGGAGTTGGCGGGGAACGCGGCGCGGGACAATAAAAAGGGGCGGATCACTCCTCGTCACATCAAACTCGCCGTCGCCAACGACGAAGAACTCAACCAGGTCTGAACTCAACCAGGTCTGAACTCAACCAGGTCTGGACTCAACCAGGTCTGAAGCTCCTGGACCAAACTCTGAGATTTAATGTTCTAAAGTTCTAAGTTCTGAAGTTCTGAACAGAGCTGGAGTTGAATTTTGACAGTTCAATTTGAAGCTTGAAAATATTTGTGCTGAATATTTAAAAGGTGAAATTTAGATTTTAAATGTGAAACACTTAAAATTTCAGCAACTAAAATTCATCTTTTATCAGAGTTAAAAAATTCAAAGTGAGAAATTCAGTGATGTTTAAAGTTCTAAATGTGAAGGAACTTCTTCTCCTCTGTAAATGTCCCTGTGGCGTCTCTTGTCTCGTGTAAAATCCTGTTTGGTTCTTCAGCTCCTTCGTGGTGTGACCATCTCAAACGGAGGAGTTCTTCCTCGGATCCACCCCGAGCTTCTGTCCAAGAAACGCGGCACCAGGGCCCGAACCGAGACGCCGCCCGCCGACAAGCAGCCGGAGACGGGAACCAGGGTCAGGAAGAGCCCCAAGACCTCCAGGACCTCCAGGACCTCCAAAGCCCGGAGAGGCAAAGGCCGACGAGGACGCAAGCCCAAGGTACAGAGAAGGTCTGAGGGAGGAGGACGAGGAGGAGGGTCTGGAGGGTCTGGAGGGTCTGGAGAGTCTGGAGGGTCTGGAGGAGGAGGGTCTGGAGGAGGGTCTGGAGGGTCTGGAGGGTCTGGAGGGTCTGGAGGGTCTGGAGGGTCTGGAGGGGGAGGTCTGGAGGAGGAGGGTCTGGAGGAGGGGGTCTGGAGGGTCTGGAGAGTCTGGAGGAGGTTTGGAGGAGGGTCCTGGAGGAGGAGGGTCTGGAGGAGGGTCTGGAGGGGGTCTGGAGGAGGAGGGTCTGGGGAGGTCTGGAGGAGGGTCTGGAGGGTCTGGAGGAGGGTCTGGAGGAGGAGGAGGTCTGGAGGAGTTCTGGAGGAGGAGGAGGGTCTGGAGGAGGGTCTGGAGGAGGTCTGGAGGAGGGTCTGGAGGAGGGGGTCTGGAGGGTCTGGAGGAGGGTCTGGAGGAGGGTCTGGAGGAGGGTCTGGAGGAGGGTCTGGAGGAGGGTCTGGAGGGGGTCTGGAGGAGGGTCTGGGTCTGAGAGTCTGGAGGAGGGTCTGGAGGAGGGTCCTGGAGGAGGGGGTTGGAGGAGGAGGGTCTGGAGGAGGAGGGTCTGGAGGAGGGTCTGGAGGAGGAGGGTCTGGAGGAGGGTCTGGAGGGTCTGGAGGGAGGAGGGTCTGGAGGAGGGTCTGGAGGAGGAAGGGTCTGGAGGAGGGTCTGGAGTCTGGAGGAGGGTCTGGAGGAGGGTCTGGAGGAGGAGGTCTGGAGGGGGTCTGGAGTCTGGAGGAGTCTGGAGGAGGGTCTGGAGGAGGGTCTCTGGAGGAGGGTCTGGAGGAGTCTGGAGGAGGTCTGGAGGAGGGTCTGGGTCTGGAGGAGGAGGGGTCTGGAGGAGGGTTGGAGAGGGTCTGGAGGAGGAGGGTCTGGAGGAGGAGGGTCTGGGGGTCTGGAGGAGGAGGGTCTGGAGGAGGGTCTGGAGGAGGGTCTGGAGGAGGGTCTGGAGGAGGGTCTGGAGGAGGGTCTGGAGGAGGAGGGTCTGGAGGAGGGTCTGGAGGAGAGGGTCCTGGAGGAGGGTCTGGAGGAGGGTCTGGAGGAGGGTCCTGGCTCAGACCTGCTGTGGTTTGTTTCAGAACCAGGACGCAGAGAAAGAATCAGAACCAAATTCAACACAAGAAGAAGAACTGGGAGAAGGTTTCACCATCCTGTCAGCCAAGACCCTGTTCCTGGGACAGAAGGTACGAGACCGAGACTAAACCAGGACTGAACTAAGACTGAACCAGGACTGAACCAGGACTGAAGCAGGACTGAAGGTGGGAGGGCATCCTGCTTAAATCTGGTTGTTGTTGCAGTTGTCGCTCACAGAGATCGACCTCGGGAAACTCGGCTCCGTCAAAGTGGACGCCATCGTGAACCCGACCAACGCCGACCTGGACCTGAGGGACCCTGTGGGTGAGGACCAGACCAAAACCAGGTCCAAAACCAGACCAAAACCAGGTCCAAAACCACCAAAACTAGACCAAAACCAGGTCCAAAACCAGGTCCAAAAACCAAAACCAGGCCCAAAACTAGACCAAAACCAGGTCCAAAACCAGGTCCAAAACTAGACCAAAACCAGGCCCAAAACTAGACCAAAACCAGGTCCAAAACCAGGTCCAAAACTAGACCAAAACCAGGTCCAAATCTAGACCAAAACCAGGTCCAAAACTAGACCAAAACCAGGTCCAAAACCAGGTCCAAAACTAGACCAAAACCAGGTCCAAATCTAGACCAAAACCAGGTCCAAAACCAGAACCAGGTCCAAAACTAGACCAAAACCAGGTCCAAAACTAGACCAAAACCAGGTCCAAAACTAGACCAAAACCAGGTTCAAAACTAGACCAAAACCAGGTTCAAATCTAGACCAAAACCAGGTACAAATCCAGACCAAAACCAGGTCTAAAACCAGGTCCAAAACTAGACCAAAACCAGGTCCAAATTTAGACCAAAACCAGGTCCAAATCTAGACCAAAACCAGGTCCAAATCTAGACCAAAACTAGGTCCAAAACTAGACCAAAACCAGGTTCAAAACTTGACCAAAACTAGGTCCAAATCTAGACCAAAACCAGGTCTAAAACCAGGTCCAAAACTAGACCAAAACCAGGTCCAAATTTAGACCAAAACCAGGTCCAAATCTAGACCAAAACGAGGTCCAAATCTAGACCAAAACTAGGTCCAAAACTAGACCAAAACCAGGTTCAAAACTTGACCAAAACTAGGTCCAAATCTAGACCAAAACCAGGTCCAAAACTAGACCAAAACCAGGTTCAAAACTAGACCAAAACCAGGTTCAAATCTAGACCAAAACCAGGTCCAAATCCAGACCAAAACCAGGTCTAAAACCAGGTCCAAAACTAGACCAAAACCAGGTCCAAATTTAGACCAAAACCAGGTCCAAATTTAGACAAAAACCAGGTCCAAATCTAGACCAAAATGAGGTCCAAATCTAGACCAAAACTAGGTCCAAAACTAGACCAAAACCAGGTTCAAAACTTGACCAAAACTAGGTCCAAATCTAGACCAAAACCAGGTCCAAATCTAGACCAAAACGAGGTCCAAATCTAGACCAAAACTAGGTCCAAATCTAGACCAAAACTAGGTCCAAAACTAGACCAAAACCAGGTTCAAAACTAGACCAAAACCAGGTTCAAAACTAGACCAAAACCATGTCCAAATCAAGACCAAAACCAGGTCTAAAACCAGGTCTAAAACCTGACCAAAACCAAGTCTAAAACCCGGCCAAAACCAGGTCTAAAACCAGGTCTAGAACCAGGTCTAACACCCGATCATGTGACAGTTTTGCTCCGCCCACAGGAAGTGCTCTGGAGAAGGCCGGGGGGCGGGACTTTGTAGACGGCGTCAAAGAAGCGAGAAAATCACACTGCCCCCTGGAGGTCGGCGCAGGTAAAGGCCGTTTCTGCTCCTGTCTGCTGCCTGCACCTGCCTGCACCTGTCTGCACCTGTCCTGCACCTGTCTGCTCCTGTCTGCTCCTGTCTGCTCCTGTCTGCACCTGTCTGCACCTGTCTGTGTCTGTACCTGTCTGCTGTTTGTCTGTCCTGTTCTGTGTTTTTGCGTGTTCTCAGTGTGTTTTTGCGTGTTCTCAGAGTGTTTTTTTGTGTTCTCGGTGTGTTTTTGCGTGTTCTTGTGTGTTTTTGCGTGTTCTCAGTGTGTTTTTGCGTGTTCTCAGAGTGTTTTTGCGTGTTCTCAGTGTTTTTGCGTGTTTTGTTTTTGCTCAGTGTTTTTGTTTTTGTTTTGCGTGTTCTCAGTGTGTTTTTGCGTGTTCTCAGAGTGTTTTTGCGTGTTCTCAGTGTGTTTTTGCGTGTTCTCAGTGTGTTTTTGCGTGTTCTCAGTGTGTTTTTGCGTGTTCTCAGTGTGTTTTTGCGTGTTCTCAGTGTGTTTTTGTGTGTTCTCAGTGTGTTTTTGCGTGTTCTCAGTGGTGTTTTTTGCGTGTTCTCGGTGTGTTTTTGCGTGTTCTCAGAGTGTTTTTTTGTGTTCTCAGTGTGTTTTTGCGTGTTCTCAGTGTGTTTTTGCGTGTTCTCAGAGTGTTTTTGCGTGTTCTCAGAGTGTTTTTGCGTGTTCTCAGAGTGTTTTTGCGTGTTCTCAGTGTGTTTTTGCGTGTTCTCAGTGTGTTTTTGCGTGTTCTCAGTGTGTTTTTGCGTGTTCTCAGAGTGTTTTTGCGTGTTCTCAGAGTGTTTTTGCGTGTTCTCAGAGTGTTTTTTGCGTGTTGTTTTTGCGTGTTCTCAGTGTGTTTTTGCGTGTTCTCAGAGTGTTTTTGCGTGTTCTCAGAGTGTTTTTGCGTGTTCTCAGTGTGTTTTTGCGTGTTCTCAGTGTGTTTTTGCGTGTTCTCAGTGTGTTTTTGCGTGTTCTCAGTGTGTTTTTGCGTGTTCTCAGAGTGTTTTTGCGTGTTCTCAGAGTGTTTTTGCGTGTTCTCAGAGTGTTTTTGCGTGTTCTCAGCGTGTTTTTGCGTGTTCTCGTGTGTTTTTGCGTGTTCTGTCGTGTTTTTGCGTGTTTTCAGTGCGTGTTTTTTGCGTGTTCTCAGAGTGTTTTTGGTGTTCTCAGTGTGTTTGCGTGTTCTCAGCGTGTGTTTGTTTTTGCGTGTTCTCAGAGTGTTTTTGCGTGTTCTCAGAGTGTTTTTTTTTGCGTGTTCTCAGTGTTTGCAGTGTTCTCAGAGTGTTTTTGCGTGTTCTCAGAGTGTTCGTTTCTGTTTTTTCTCAGTGTTTTTTGCGTGTTCTCAGTGTGTTTTTGCGTGTTCTCAGTGTTTTTTGCGTGTTTCTTTTTGCGTGTTTGTTCGTGTTCTGTTCAGCGTGTTTTTTGCGTTTTTTTTTTGCGTGTTCTCAGCGTGCGTGAGTGCGGCGAGCGCGGCGATGGCGTCGCGGTTCGTGGTTCACTGTCACGTTCCTCTGTGGGGATCCGAACGCTGTGAGGAACATCTGGAGAAAACCGTGAGGAGCTGTTTATCTGCAGCAGAAGAAAAGAAACTCAAGTCCATGGCCTTTCCCTCCCTCCTGAAAGCACGGTGAGACCAGGACCAAGGACCAAGACCAAGACCAGGACCAGGACCAAGACCAAGACCAAGACCAGGACCAAGACCAGGACCAGACCAAGACCAAGACCAGGACCAAGACCAAGCCAAGACCAAGACCAGGACAGACAGACCAGGACCAGGACCAGACCAAGACCAGGACCAAGACCAGGACCAGACCAAGACCAGACCAGACCAGACCAAACCAGGACCCACCAAAGGACCAAGACCAAGACAACGGACCAGACCAGGACCAAGACCAGGACCAGGACCAGACCAGAACCAGACCAGGACCAGGACCAAGACCAAGACCAAGACCAGGACCAGACCAGACCAGACCAAGACCAAGACCAGGACCAGACCACCAGGACAGGACCAAGACCAGACCAAAACCAGGACCAGACCAGGACCAGACCAGGACCAAGACCAAGACCAAGACCAGGACCAGGACCAGGACCAGGACCCAGACCAGGACCAAGACCAGACCAGGACAGGACCAGGACCAGACCAGAACCAGGACTAAACCGGGTCTTGCGTTTCAGAAACGGGTTCCCGAAGCAGACCGCGGCTCAGTTGGTGCTCAGGTCCATCTCCTCACACCTCGTCTCCTCCAGCAGCACCAGCCTCAAGAACATCTACTTCCTCCTGAACGACGCCGAGAACATCGGGGTTTATCTGCAGGAGATGGCCAAGGTGGAGGGCAAGTGAACGACAGGAGGAGGGGGGGAGGAGGAGGAGAGGAGGAGGAGAGGAGGAGAGAGGAGGAGGAGGAGGAGGAGGAGGAGAGGAGGAGGAAGAGAGGAGGAGGAGAGAGGAGGAGGAGAGAGGAGGAGGAGGAGAGGAGGAGGAGGAGGAGGAGAGAGAGGAGGAGGAGGAGGAGGAGGAGGAGAGGAGAGGAGGAGGAGGAAGAGGAGAGGAGAGAGGAGGAGGAGGAGGAGAGAGAGGAGGAGAGAGGAGGAGGAGAGAGGAGAGAGAGGAGGAGGAGGAGGAGGAGGAGGAGAGGAGGAGAGAGGAGGAGAGAGAGGAGGAGAAGAGGAGGAGAGAGGGAGGAGGAGAAGGAGGAGGAGAGAGGAGGAGGAGAGAGAGGAGGAGGAGGAGGAGGAGGAGGAGGAGGAAGGAGGAGGAGGAGGAGGAGGAGGAGGAGGAGAGAGGAGGAGAGGAGGAGGAGGAGAGGAGAGGAGAGGAGGAGGAGAGAGGAGGAGGAGGAGGAGGAGAGGAGAGGAGGAGGAGGAGGAGGAGAGAGGAGGAGGAGGAGGAGGAGGAGGAGGAGGAAGAGGAGGAGAGGAGGAGGAGGGAGGAGAGGAGGAGGAGGAGGAGGAGAGAGGAGAGGAAGGAAAGAGAGGAGGAGGAGGAGGAGAGAGGAGGAGGAGGAGGAGAGGAGAGGAGAGAAGGAGAGAGGAGGACGGAGGAGGAGGAGAGAGAGGAGAAGAGAGGAGAGAGAGAGGAGAGGAAACCATTTTTTAAAAGTTGTAAAAAGAAAATGGACGCACAGACGCTTCTGTAAATGTGTAGATAAAGTAGAAGAACTCAGCACAAGACCTGGTTTAGTCCTGGTTTAGTCCTGGTTTAGACCTGGTTTAGTCCTGGTTTAGACCTGGTTTAGTCCTGGTTTAGTCCTGGTTTAGACCTGGTTTAGTCCTGGTTTAGTCCTGGTTAGAACCTGGTTTAGTCCTGGTTTAGTCCTGGTTTAGTCCTGGTTTAGTCCTGGTTTAGTCCTGGTTTAGTCCTCAGTTTGAACCAGTCTGGTCTCTTTTCGTTTACTTCTTTTTGTTTGAAAATCCATTTTATTTATAAAATATTTTACAGAAAGTTCTTTTTAAAAATCCAGACTGTAAAAAAGAAAAAAGAGGAATTTGTTCATTAAGATAAAAATGTTTTAAATCGGTACAAAACATGAAAAAATACAAGTTCTGTTTGAACTTTTGTGTTGTAAAAATTGACCAAATGCGTTTTATACAGTTTAAATTTGAAAATTTATTAAATTCTGTTTTATTTTTTAGAGAAATGTTCCATTATTTGTGTTTTGACCTGATTTGTCTCTTCCTGTTCTCGGTCTTTGCACATGGAGAAAACTGGAGAGTGAAAATTTCCGGGTGAAATATTTCAGAGTTGTTTTATTTTTACTCTTTGAGAGTTAAATGTGTGTTAGAGTTTGGGTTTGTCAGAGTTGATTTGGTTAAAGTTAATTCAACTTCTCTTAGTGTTAATTTGTCTCCTGCACTTCAAACTCCCTCCAGTTTGAACCAGTTTGAACCAGTTTTGTTCTGAATTTCATCTTAAATTAACTCAAATAAAGTGTGAAAATAAAACTCCTCTGTGTGTTGTTGAGTTAAATCAGGATAACTCTACAAAGTGTTATCTGTTTACTCTCTAAACCTTCATTTAACTCTGGGTTTGGGTTAAACAGGAACTTTGGTCCAGTTTTACTTCATGAACTTTTACACAAATGTTAAATTAACTTTAGAACAGAGTGACTCAGACGTAACAAACAAACAAACAAACAAACAAACACAAGAACAGATCTGAGTGTGACCAGGAACAACACAACAACAACAACACAACAACAACAAACACAACAACAACACAACAACACAACAAACAACAACAACAACACACAACAACAACAACAAACAACAACACAACAACAACACAACAACAACAACAACACAACAACAACAACAACACAACAACAACACAACAACAAACAACAACAAACAACAAACACAACAACAACAACAACAACACAACAACAACAACAACAACAACAACAACAACAACAACAACAACAACAACACAACAACACACAACAACAACAACAACAACAACAACAACAACAACAACACAACAACAAAACAACACAACAACAACAACACAACAACAACAACAACAACAACAACAACACAACAACACAACAACAACAACAAAACAACAACAACAACAACAACAACACAACACACAACAACAACAACAACACAACAACAACACAACAACAACAACACAACAACCACAACAACAACACAACAACAACACAACAGCAGAACTTTAGAACATTTAGACGTTAGAACGTTGAAGCTCAGAGTTTGTGGTTCTGGAGTTTCTTTTTCTCTTCTGTCGAGTCTGAAGTTTTTGTGAAAATGAAAACACAGGAGTTTCTGTCATAAATATTTGAAAAGTGTTTTTAGTTTCTGATTCTGCGTCGAGTTCGTTTGTTTTTGTTTTTTGTTCTTTTCTTGAGTCTCGTTTTGTTTTTACATTCCACGTTACAACGGAAAAAAAAAAAGATCTGTGTTCTGCTTTCAATAAAAGAAACGTTTTACACCAACGTCTCCTCCTCTGTTCCCCGACAAACCTGCACCGTCTGAACCTGGTCTAGACCTGGATTAGTCCTGGTTTAGTCCTGGTTTAGTCCCTGGTTTAGTCCTGGTTTATGGTTTAGTCCTGCTTTTAGTCCTGGATTAGTCCTGGTTTAGTCCTGGTTTAGTCCTGGTTTTAGTCCTGCTTTTAGTAGTCCTGGATTTAGTCCTGGTTTAGTCCTGGTTAGTCCTGGTTTTCCTGGTTTAGCCTGGTTTAGTCCTGGTTTTAGTCCTGGTTTAGTCCTGGTTTAGTCCTGGTTTAGACCTGGTTTTAGTCCTGATTTAGACCTGGTCTAGACCTGGTTTAGTCCTGGACCTGGTTAGTCCTGGTTTAGTCCTGGTTTAGTTCTGATTTAGATTTTAGACCTGGTTTAGTAGTTCCTGATTTAGACCTGGTTTAGACCTGGTTTAGTCCTGATTTTAGTGATTTTAGACTGGTCTAGACCTGGTTTAGTCCTGATTTAGACCTGGTCTAGACCTGGTTTAGTCCTGGTTTAGTCCTGGTTTAGTTCTGATTTAGACCTGGTTTAGTTCTGATTTAGACCTGGTTTAGTTCTGATTTAGACCTGGTTTAGTCCTGATTTAGACCTGGTTTAGACCTGGTCTAGACCTGGTTTAGTCCTGATTTAGACCTGGTCTAGACCTGGTTTAGTCCTGGTTTAGTTCTGATTTAGACCTGGTTTAGTTCTGATTTAGACCTGGTTTAGTCCTGATTTAGACCTGGTTTAGTCTGATTTAGACCTGGTTTAGTCCTGGTTTAGACCTGGTTTAGACCTGGTTTAGTCCTGAGTCTGATTTGAACCTGGTTTAGACCTGGTTTAAGACCCCTGAAAAACAACAAATTTAGAAAAAAACTGAGTCAAGAAGAAAGATTTTATTAAAAATACAGAATAAATACATCACAGAGACACTTAAACTTTCCCTCTAAAATAATCATCTCATTCTTCAAACGAGACCTGGTCCAGTCCTGGTCCAGTCCTGGTTTAGTCCTGGTCCAGTCCTGTTTAGTCCTGGTCCAGTCCTGGTCCAGTCCTGGTCCAGTCCTGGTTTAGTCCTGGTTTAGTCCTGGT